TCTTGTCAAACGGGGCTTGCTGCGAGTTGTAGTGCCACTAAACTGTTTAGCTCGGGTCCTGGAGTAGGTAACTTTATCCTTATTGTAGAAGTCCTGCAAACATTGTGTTTGCTGGTAGTCTGTTGGCATCAACAGTAGCACCAATGCTGTTTACTTTCATGTTCACTGAGCCCCATTTGTAATTATCTGAATTACTTATCTGCATTATATCTGAATGTAATTGAAACAATACGAGCAAGCAGGAGCGTCTGTTTGTGGGCGGGGCTTGCTGGAGCAGAGAGGGAGGGGAGAGGAGGAGCTGAGGGGGAAGCTGGTTAGGAGGGGGATTGTTTACATGCAAGATTTCTCCCAAAAACTGGCACCTCCTCAGATCCTGCCTAACCCCCTAAAGGCGAGTCCCCACAGTGAAAAGCAACTAAGCACTAAACCCTCCTCCCCCCGCGCGCGCATCGTCATACATTTTCAAATTGATAACCCAGTGGTATGATATTGGTGTTCTAGACTGTCATTATTTTGCAGAAGCACTAGAGGAAAACAAAGTGAAAGCATCATATTCACACTCAGACATGCACACACCCAAACAGAAGCTTTTGTTCAGCTGATTGTCCATTATCTATAACCTTGCTCATCAGTGTGTGTGTGTGTGTGTGTGTGTGTGTGTGTGTGTGTGTGTGTGTGTGTGTGTATTTGTGGACAGCACACATCCCACTGAGTCTATAAGCTTCCTGTCACTGAACAGTGTTGCTACATTGACTCTCACATGCTTACAGCAGAATCAAAGTGAGAACATCTTCTGTTCTGACTGAGTGAAAACAGGAGCTTAACATGTTGACATGCACTCAAACACACTTTCATAGACAGATACTACTCTTACTGTTTATTATCCGTGTCCATCTCATTCCCAGAACTGTGGTGATGCTGTGGCAAATGTGAATTAAAACAGATTTAGATGTTTTTAAATTACTTAGTCTTTAAATTTGAACCTGTTTAAAGCAGCCCTATTATACTATTTTTTAACTGTCAATCAGTATGTTTACATTGTGTTAAAAATCTGTTTGTTGAATTTGTTTGACTGAAAATGAACTTTAAGATTCATGTAGACACCAAACTTCTCAGAGGATTACCAAACCTGTGCTCTGTTCTGATTATGCTCCACAGTTGACATAATCAGGCTTTGACCCTGAAGTTGAACAGTGTAAATGTGATAAAGGAGGCAAAGTAGTAAAGAAGAATGAAATATAGAATAAATAGAGAATAAAGAATATATAGAGCTGTAAAGTTATCTATGTTTTTATTGTGGGTCATAAAACCAGTCAGCCTCTTGCTAACTTGTTTGTAAGCTGTTTTGGTATGTGACATAACAGGTAAACTTGAGGAAGGTCCAACAGTAACAAGCTAAAAGGGGCATATTGGCACCTACTGTAGCAGTCAGGCATCTCAGCGTGAGGTTTCCCGCCCTAAATGTGACGTCACAAGGTTCTTTATTTTATTGTCATTCAACATGCTGAAAACCACAGAGGACAAAAATGGTTGTATTAACAATTGAATCAATTAAAACAATTGATTATAACCTGATAAGAAAATTAATCTTAGTGAATGCTGCATAGGACACTTTTATATTGCATGACTGAGCAACCCAACACCTCCATCTCACCGTCCAGCCGGTCCAACCAGAGACCACAAGGGGGTCAGGACAGACACCTAGCAATCATTGTGACTCCCTGTAGAGCCCAAGACACTGACAATGCAACATCACATCATCTATGATAAAAATATGTTTTTAATTTACTTAAAGGTCTCCCCAGGTTGAAATAATATTAAATGTCAGATGTTTTGACACTGTGATACTTGAATAAATGTTTTATTACCCATGGATGTTGAAAGGACAGGTGATGAGAGACACCAGTAAACACGACCCTGTCTCAGCTTTTTAGGAGCGTGTTAATGAGATTAAATTCAAAATGAGTAATTATTTGTAACAAAGACAATGTAGTTTATCTGTTTAATTAAATATTTTGTCTTTGGAGTCTATTCATTCAAATATATGGTGAAAAGATAAGATAAGAAAGATAAAAAGAACTTTATTACTTCCTAAAGGGAAATTCAATAAGGATTTATAAATAATAAAATGATTATAAATCACTGTATCCATTTTTATTCATGTTTTAAACAACAGCACAACTTCATTGGAAGAGGAGTTTGTATAAAAAGGCCTCTGTGAGCTGTATTTTGTTAATTATAATGAACAATTTTTATTGTGTTATTATGAAACTGCTTTTGTGTCCAATTTTGTGATTTGGACCCCCTGTGTTGGACAGTCTGTGTTTGTTGGTGTACAGCAGGTCAGTGTGAGCTGGATTTCCCTGCAGGCTTCATTCAGCTGTTTCCAAAGAGAGCTGCAGTGAGCACATTTGTCCTGCAGGGGGCTCTGTGTGTTTGTCTGCTCTGTGGCTCTGTGTCCGGGCTCTGTGCTGAGAGTCGGAGCTGTGCTGTGGGCTGGCTGCTGGAGTCATCGGCCTACAGTTCATTGAGTTAACCTCTAGGTGTCACTCATCATCTAGCTGTGAGGGCAGCAGAGGAGGGAGGCGTCTCCACCGCATCCAGACCTCTCCATAAAGCTCCGAGTCTCCTCTCAGCTGCTGTTTCAGTCAGCTTCAGCAGCACATTTTCCCACTTCAGGTCTGATCCTTTGTGTTTGGAGAGGCTGCTGACAGGATGCAGAGCTGCTCCCAGTAATTCTGGGCTGGAAAAACAATCGTGTCTGCATCCAGACACTGAGTTTCTGTGGAGAAGATTCAAAGCTTTCTCATTTATAAGGAGACTTCCACAAACTGCAAACACCAAATTAACTGGTATGATGTTGAAAACTGGACCTGCATGTTGTGTTGTTCATCCTCTGTTGACCCAGCATTTAGCTTCATGTGTTAACAGATACACTGACCAGTCTTCTTTACAGGGAATAACAAAGCACTTTTTTTCAGCAGGCACTCACTCATTTGTTCAGTTTTTCATTTTGTTGTTTCCTCCTTAAAATGTGAAAAACAAAAAAATGTTCCCAGATCCCAAAGGGATTTTGTTGTCTTTGTTACCCAAAATACTCAGTTTACAGGGAAACAGATAAAACCAGACATAGAACAGCTGCTCAATAGCCGTTTTGATTCAAGACTATACAGCCTGACATTAAGGCTAAAATAAATGTCTGATTCTAACACGACAAATATGGCATATCAACTGAAAACTGAAAAAACAAAAAGGTTCTTGCAGAACGTTAAAAAAGCTGGGAGAGTGACAAAAAACAAAACTATAATAACCAAACAAAAAACAGCTGAGGGAACATCTCCATCTAATGAGGTTCATCTTCAACAGGTTAGAAACATGACTGGATATAAAAAGGACATTCAGAGAGGCTGAGACTCTTTGAAGGAAAGACGAGAGACTGTGAGAGCAAATAGTTCAACAGTTTCAGAATAAAGTTCCTGAGAGTAAAATGTGAAAAAAATTAGTGGATGTCATCATCTACAGAACAAAATATCAAAAGATTCAGAGGATCTGGAGAAATCTCTACAAAAGGGACAAGGACCAAAACCAAGACTGGATGGACCAGATCTTCAGGCACTCAAGCAGCACTACATTTAAAACATTGAAGACATGACTCCATAGTGGAAATCACTGCATGGTCTCCAAATTAGTCACAAAAACCATTGTCTTTGAGCACAGTTCATTACTGCATCCACAAATGCAGGGTAAGAGACTTTTCTGAACCTGCACCCATTTAAGACAGACTGATGGGATGTGAGAAACTGTCCTGAGGTCTGAGGAATCAAATTAGACATTCTTTCTGGAAATCAAGGACGCTTAATCCTCCACCCTGAAGAGCAGAGAAATCACTCCATGTGATGGGAAGACCTTCGTATTCAAGTAAGACAATGCCGAACCACATTCTGCAGGTATTACAATAGCATGGCTCTGTAGTAGAAGACCCCTAGGGCCCCAGGAACCCTGGTTTGCCACCCACTGAAAAAATCATGCAAAGGAGACCCTGAACTGTTGAGCAGCTGAAATTCTATATTGTGCAAGAATCTGACATTTCTCTGTCTAAGCTCCAGAAACTGGTCTCCTGAGTTGATTAATGTTTACAGAGTGTTGGTAAAGATAAAGCTGATGGCACAGGATGGGAAACGTGACTCTGTAACGACTTCTTAGAAACATGTATCTGCCACCAACTTTAAAATGATCGTAACATTTCCTTTCAACAAAAACATTTTACAGTTTCACACTCACTATCTTGTCTTTGCACTATTTTTAAATTCACAAACCATCAAAAGCTGTTTCATTAACATTTGACACACAGCTCCAACTGTTTTGGAAGTTGTGTTGTATTACCACTTTGGTACACCACTGACGGTTCCTATATTATCAAGTTTTGGCAAAAAATAAAATCATACGGTTCATGGTTGAAAAAAACTCTTTCATTCAATTAGACCAGTTAGAGGAGTCATATATAATTTGAATACAAAAACAATGTTAATGCATCAGTGAGGAAATAAAGATAGGGTCGATTACAAAAGGCCTATTGGCTGCCCATTGTTTACACTTCCTGGAACAAGCCTGGTGGTAATTCAGGTTTGGTGGTTATCTATAATTATGTCAGAATAACTAACTAAACATTGTGATAAGACTGCTTTCACTGTTTTGTCTTGTCAGACCTCTCCGGGATACAAATCTTTCATTTTGTTTTCTTCTGGCAATTTTATTACCTTTTTTTTTGCTCTTTTTTATTGTTGTTGTTTTAACTCCTTTCAGGTAGATGTTTTGAGTGAGTTTTAATATTGTTTGTCCAATCTAAAGATACTGAATTGCAATCACACTTTATATAGATACACTCAAATAAAAATGTACTTTTCTGGCGTTGCATTGTCAATATTTTCTCCCGTGAACTATATGAACTCAAGATTGAATGACAAAAATCATACCTATGAAGCACAAAAATCTAAAAAATATTAGTGTATTATTATTTTTTTATTGTGTACCATCCCGTTCCCCACATAAATCCACAAAGACGAGTGTCCAATAATCATTAACATACTCAAGTTTACATATCATAGTGACAAATAAAAAAGAATCACAATACAAAAGACCAATTAAATATGTAGAATGTCAATCGCATGTCAAAGTCTTGATTCAACATTTCTGTATTCAACATGCATTCAAAATATAAAAATAGACTTCTGATTAACTTTATATACACTTCTTTTTATAAATATAAGTATACAAATGTATTTTTAAAATACAAAGATAAATACAGTCACATAGTGTACATTGTGTACCAAACCAGCAATTACAAACAATTTTTTGGATATTTAGCATTCACAAAACACATTTAGCACATTAGAAATGCAACTTTAACGACACTTGCAGGTCTTATTTTTTGTCTTTGTTCTTATTCGGTTTTCTTTTTGCCGCTCACTCTCCCTCACTTATATTCTGTAGTGGAGGCAGCAGTCAGTGAGCAGTGAATAAATAAGGAGGGTAAGAATCAGGAAGTCTAGCTCTGCCTGACATCCTGTAAGAGTTTGTTGATTTCGGCCACCAGCTCACTGGCATCCACCAGCTCATGTCGACTGTCGCTGCGTTTGCCCTGCAGATGGCTAAGCACCGAGTCAAAGTCGTCCTCCTCATAGTTCTCGGGGATCTCCTCCATGGCCGGCAGCCACTTAGAGGAGGGTCCGGGGAGTGGGACGGGCACCGGCACTGGGGCCGGAGGGGGCTGAACCAGAGTGGGGCTTACCAGAGCCGTGAGCAGGGGGCTGCTGTGGGGTTTGGGGGCGTGGCCACTGTTCTGGGGGCTGTTTTTGGGCGCCTGCAAGCCCTTATGGCAACCACTCTGGGAGCTGAGCTTGGTGCTGGGTTTGAGGGTGTGGTAGCTGCCCTGGTGGTGGCCGGACGGGCCAATGCTGCTCCCAGGGTTCTGGAAGTGGGTGTTGGCGGCCCAGGCTGCAACGCCCTGCTGGTGGACAGAGGGGTTTGATTTTCCAGGAAGGTGACCCCTCCTGCGATCTAAAGATCCAGTCATTGGGACCCCCACCCCGCTCAGGCTAGTCCCCTTCTGGTTCTCATTGACTTGAACGTAAGAGTCCAAACCCTGTGGCAGCAACCTCTGAAACACGCTGCTCATCTCTGACAGCAATGACGTGGTCCCACAGAGGTCTTCATCTCTGGACTCACCAGCACCGTCCTGCCTCCCCTCCTCTTCCTCTCCGTCCTCGCTGCCCAGGTCCTTTCCAAAGGTGGAGAAGCTCTGGTTGCGGGCGGGGCCAGCATCAGTGCAGGGCTGAGGGGTCTTTTCCTGGGCAACGTCGGTGGGTTGGCGGGCTTCTTCCCCTGGGATGTAGAGGTTGCTCCGGTAGTCAGAAGAGGAGGATGCTGGGGAGGCCAGGGGGGGCATCCAGCACTGGTCTGAGTGACCCAGGACACGACACTCGTCTGTGCAGAGCCTCATTGCTGGAATGACAAGGACAAATGAAGACATAAGTCATGAGGAAAACTGTGTGTGGACACTCAGAGCTGGACATCAAACTTCAGATCTTTGAAGGCAGAGCTGTACAGGTAAGGCCTTGAAGATGGAAACCAGCGGAGATAAGGGGAAAAAACCAAATGGATTATGGGGAGGCATCAAATTGATGACGATGCCCCTGTGTACAAAGTAACACACAGGCTGCATGCAACTTCCTATCAGTTAAAACACAGCTAAAATAAATAGTTTTTTATGTCTTGGCTTACAATCTTGGGGTGGTCTCTGTGAGTTTTTAAGTCTTTACTCAAAACTTCAGTAAGTTTTTTCTAGCTTTTATTTGTTTTTTGTTTGTTTGTTTGTTTTTTAGGCATGTTTTTTAACTATTTTGCATGCCTCTGCATAAATTGTAGTTGAGTTTTTATTTCTGCTGTTTTTCCTGTGCAGCACCTTGGTAAACATAATTGTTACAATGCTCTATACAAATACAGTGTATGCCTAAGCAAGAATGTCAACCCCAAGACTTTCACTGAAAGCTTGTATGAACTTTAATATCTAATACAGTAACTCCATATATCAGGGTAGTAGATCTATCTTGCAGATAATTTCAAATAGAGATCCCATCCTTGTATATTTTGCATGTTCATAAGAATGAAAAGGATTCGCAGATGATTCCTGTCATCTCTTTTCATTGTTCTCTTTCTGGCTGCCTCCTCGGGTGTTCCTGCTGCAGTGTCTCTGAAAACAAGGTGGGATTCAGCCTTAATTAGTCTGAAAGGCTCTCTGCAGGAGCTCTCTCTGCTACGGTACCTTCCAATGTATTTACCACTGAGAGACAATTCAGCAAGGCCGATCAATGCCTATTACCCATTCAAAATAACTCCTCCTCTAAAAGCCCTGAATTTTTCCCTTTCAAGTTGCTGTTTTCAATTTTGAATCTTCAAATAGAAAATCTCTGAAGAATAAATTAGACAAATCAAATATGCCAACTTAAAGCCTTCATTAAAGGAGTGCGGCGCTTTTCAGTCGTGCTATTGAGGGACTTCATTATCCCCTCATTAACATGAAAGGAACATTTATAATACATCTTAGAGCAGATGAAAAGTGCATTTGGGTGCACTGGAAGGGAAGAAACAGCACGGGGGCAGCGGCAGATTGGATGCCCTACTGATGAAAGCAGAAAATGAAAGATTTAACCCAAGCGATTTGCAAGAAAAAATGAGAAAAAGAACACATCAGGCAAACATTTACTGAACGCCTGCCTGTTTGACTGACTGCAGTGTCAATTCAGTCGACTTATAGAGCCATAATTTACTGGCACGTAAATCAGTTTGGTTTTATTCAGAGCTGTGGACAACATGGCTCACTGCCGGCTGTGGGTTTGTTTACTTGAGAGCTTTTCTTTTATCAAATTTTATCTCCTTTTATCCCTGATAAGAAGCAGTGGGGGGGCTTCTATTTCCCACTGAGCGGAGGCAGAGACAGCGAGCGCTGGCAGACAGCTTTAGACGAGACCGAGGACACACTTGAAGGGACAATCCAACACTTTGTTTGTACAAGTTTCACTAAGTTTGCATAGTGAAAAGTTTAAACAGCCTATCCTGAAAAACACAGCGAGTCAGATTGTTGGAAAGGGCGTTAATTACTGGGATGTGAAGAGAAAATGCACAAGGGAGGAAAGACCTGACAAACTCTGAATTAATAAGTTCATCTAATGATAAAGAGTCTAAAAGATACTGCCACGTACAAGACACTAAAGGGCTGATGAAGCTAGAAAGAAGCAGACAGAAAGCAGGAGTAAAAAACTAAATTCATCAAACTATGAGCTGTGATGGACTTTCCGTTTTATCCACATGTCAAGCCAAACCAGCGAAACTGTCATATTCAATCAAAACCACTCATGATCAATATATGCAGAATATTAGCCATCTTAATAAGCAAGTATACAATGTTTGCAATTTGAGAGCAGCCATTCACACCAGCATGACTGAACATGTCTTCACAGCTTGACTGACACGCTCTCAGCTCTGATGCCAAACAAATCATGCCCTGATGTCCTACTCACACCTGCTGCTCATTATGCAGGACTGTAGCTGGAAAAGCTCATCACAGCAGGTTAAGATAGTCTTCGCTCCAGTGTTGTTCCAGCAGCATGCAGGCGTTAAAGCAGATAGTAAATAATTGCTAAATTATGTCACATTTCCAGTTAAAATGATTGGGTTTCACTCAAGCAGTGAGTCCAAGAAAGATGTCTTACGTCAAGAAATTACACATCCAAATGAATAAAGGCAAAAAAAATCTGCTGGTAGAGTAAGAAAATGTATTTGTCAAACTATTAAAATAAGTCATCTTCTTATGTTAATACCTTAAATCTTATATCAAGTAACTTGAGAATAATATTTTTTGTCCCATTGGCAGATTTCTTATTCATAATGTGCAGTTTGGGTCTTGTTATGTCATAACTCTAAATAAGAGGTTTGTCTGGACTTTGAGGGGAATGTGGATTAACTTAAGCCTAATGAGACATTTGTGCTGGATATAAAACTAAATGATCCTTCACTAATATCTATTGTTTCTCTACTCTCACCTTTTAGCCAAATGCCCTGAGCGACTTAAGTTCATGTGGCAAACATTGATGCCATGTGCAGATATGGTGCTTTTATTTGGAAGGATAATAAGGGATGGAGTTACTGTGCAGTTAGTTACAAATGCACTGCAAAAACTCAATCTCTTTTTTGTCTTATTTCAATATTTTACAGGGTTTATTTGGTGACAGATGTACATAAAAGGTCTATCTGTTCGTTGAGTAAGAATGCATACTTTTCAGGTTTCTTGAAATCGAAAAATGTTTCATTTCAAGACTTTATTTCTTATCCTGTTGGCAGATTTCTTTTTCATTTGTTCAAAGCACTCTAGGTCATATTGTTGATGTATAACACTTGAAATAAGACATTATTCTGAACTTTAAGGTGATTGTGATTTAAATGAAGTCTTGAAATGAGACAAATAACATTTACAAAGTTGTGATTTTTTTCTGCAGTGCAATCAAAGCCAATTACACAATCACTTCTCACCTGAGTACCCTTCAAAATAAAAGTCTTTTTTGCAGTGCGACTATACTGTGTGTTGCTGTTCAGTGCCGTCATCTGTCTTAGTTTCTCTTCTTAAGTATGATAGTGAAAGATAGTAATTGTAAAGCTACAGGACACTATTGTTGTATTCTCAGTCTGGCAGCTCTGAGCCAAAGTCATGTTTCCATCTGTGGATGATTACTGAGAGTATTCTTGAGTTTTTAGTTTCCTTCATGATCTCATGCTCCAGAAACAGCGACCTACACTCCCCGTGATGTAGCCTGATTGTGTCAGGTAAATGCCCACACCTTTCAGATCTACTTCACTTCATGTGTGACACCCCGCTCAGCGATGAGTGCCTGGATGACATCACAATGACATCATCAGAGGTTATCTGTCTCATTTTAAAGTCCTGTGTTCTGAAGCTGTCCTGGCTGATTCTCCTGGCAGGTAAACAAACAGACTTTGACTCATAAAACTGGTGGAGTCCTACTTGTACACTTAGAGCCTTCCTTCAGTCTGCCTGCAGGTGAAAGCACTGTTTACTCCTCATTCATTATGCACAAAGAACTGGGTCAGGCTGACAGGGAGAGTATTTTTAACCAAAGTTATCAGAGACAAACTCTTCTCTGCGCTCTGTACCTCAGTGTCTGTGCGGGAGAGGTCCACTTCTGTCTAGAACCGAGTGAATCACCTCGGACTGAGACAAACATCTGCAAAGGGGTCCATTAAGGTCAGAGTCCTGAACCCCTTTATAGCTCTGCTTGAGAAAAGACTAGGTCGATATGCTGACCTGATATTGCCATATCACAGATAAATAGTTATTAGTGAATGACATTGATATGTACCAGATTCAGATTCAGAAGTGGTTTTATTGTGTATTTTTCCAGCCGAGCATGCTTGACTCCAACCCTCTCTGTGCTGTCTGCAGCACTTGTAGCAGAGTGTTGCAGCTTTGCATACAGCCATTAAACCTGCTACTGGTTGGCCTGCTGTAGGAGTGTTTTCATGAAGTGATTTGTTCAAAATGCAGGCTCCTAGGCGCCCAAAAAGTCTTATGTTGAAAATATACACATATAAAGAGCTGGCTCTCATTCCAGTTTAAAAAAAGTTTACCACATAGGCTGATATGTCTGTTATTGGTAAACTTTTGTCCTCAGAAACTTGGTCAGAGTTTTAATGTTGTGCCAAGCTCAGTATTTAAGCTGAAAGCACAGGTGAGCATCTGTTTGATCACAAAGTGAAGAGACGCTCCTGCCAACACCTTTAGAGCTGCAACTTCAACACAAACAACTTGTTTGTTCAATCATCGATGAAGGTAAAACTGCAGGAAATCACTGCATCCCACTTCTGTTTTGGTATGACAAGTCCTCTGATTTCATGTTTAGCGCATGACAGATAAATAGCTAGATGCAACTCATAGATAAGTTAGCGGCAGACGTGTTGTTAAGTGTTTTTCTTCCCCTCTGATTCCAGTCTTTGTGCTAAGCTAGACTAAACACTTCTTGATTCTAGCTCTGAACGCTCAGTAATACCCAACGTGGGATTGATAATAATCCTCTAATCTCAGGCTCACAGAGAAAGGGAATAAGTGTATTAACCCGCACTCTGCATATTCTCTCCAAAACAAAAACAGCTGAGAGTAAATTCCATAAATTTCCTCTCATTCTGCTGTTTTAGAGAATTGGAGTGTTTCTAAAGGTTTATTTGAGTGTGCAATGATTCAAGCCTGGAGCTACTTTCCCTGATAATAAACTGTGTGAAATCTTCTGCATCCAGATGAGCTGCAAACAAAGACTTTACTTTCTGCCTTATTCTCCCTCTGAGCAGGGAGGGCTACCATTGTCGGCAATAATGACAGGGCAGCGACTAAATACTGCTTGAAATCATCCACGCTGCAGTGGACACGGGGGCAGGAGGCGGGGTGAATGTACAGAGGGAGAAAGGTGAGCTTTGAGATGTAATTATGCTCTTCAGGGCCTAATCATGAGCGCAAGTCTGTGCCGACTCCATGGCAACTGTTCGTCACATGGCAATTAAATGCTTCCTTTTCATCAGGAGAGCAGAAGGGCTTCAGTTTGGATGGCTGAGAGTGAAGGCTTGAAGGTGGGAAAAGGAGAGTGACTAACGAGCAGAGCTCCCCCACAAAGCCACGAAGCGAGGGAGGGCGGGAGTGAGGAGGTGTTAGTGATGAGATTGTCTGCCCGTCTGGGTCGACTTTAATTGGGATGTAGCTCAAATGCAGAGTAGAGTGATGGCTGTGTGGGAAGCTGGTAGGAAAGAAGCGGGAGCTCTGGGAGGAGAGAGATGGCGTGATGAAGGAAGCTGCTGCAGCTTCGCAACCCGTGTGACGTTAACTAAGACAGGCTGAGAGCTTTACACCGAGTGTGGCCCAGTGTTTCCTGCTCAAACCTGCCAGAGTTGTGCTGCTAGGTGGGCAGAAATTTTGAGTCAACGGGGTCAACCAGCGTGCAACAATGGTCCAGAGTTACTGGCTGTTAATTATGAGGAGGAGAGGAGGGACACTCCATGCAGAGGGACAGATGGGAGGAGGGATGGACCAGTTGAGCAATCTGCAGAAATATCTCCAAAACTTTAGAGATGTAGAGGTGACAAACAGTGACTGAAGATCATCCACAAACCAGCAAGACCAATTCACATGCAGCTGTTTGTGATGCAGAACAGAAAAGACATGCAGAAACAGAGTTGTGCTAATGGAGAGTGGATAAAGAGAGCACTTTGTGTGTCTGTGACCCAGGTTCTTTCAACTGTGCATCATTTATCTCTCTTGTATTTAACCGTGCAGCTCTCTTCACAGGCATTTTTACAGGAATTTAAAAAAAAAAATCAAGTCTTTCTATCATGACAGGCAAAAGTACACTAATATCTGTGCATCAACTGGCATTCAGCAGGTGGTTATATGCAGCCATTGTGATAAGCTGCTAAACGGTAGACTTCAGGAATGTGACCACACAAAGTCTAAATAAACTATCCACTTATCTGTTAAGATAAGAAACAACTTCCTTTCTCTCAGTGAAATAACTGTCTTCTACATAACGATTCATGCAAAGCCATGAGTTCATTTTAAAAGGTTGTAACATTCATAGAAACCCAGCATGAACTGAAGAACTAATTGAACCAACTTAACACATAAGATATCAAAGCAGCATTAGTATTGACTTTATTTAAATATCATTAAAAACGTCTTGTTCAGAGGGTTAATCTGATGCCTCAATGGAGAGTTAACTGAACACATGACCATGCTGCTCAGAATTCTGCCCATCTGTGCTAAACATGTGACCTCTAGAGGGGGTTGCTACCCCAGGGTTGAGAAAGTGGTTTAACCCAGTTAAGCTGGTGTTTGACCAGAGCTGCGTTCATTGATCATGGAGTGACTTTAACTGATTATTACATGGCTTCTGTAAATGAACAGATAAATCTACCAAGCTGTGAGTGCTGACAGATTATTGGGTTGGAATATTTTTGAATTTTTTGCTGGTTCCCACTTATAAAAAGTGTCCAGATTTTCTTCAGAAGTGAAAACATAAGTGAGTTTGATTCAGTTATCTCAGTATTTTTGGATGTGATCTTGAGATCTGCAAGCTTTTGATGAGCATTATTATCTATTTTCTAACTGCTGTCTGCGGCATTTAGGAGACTAATCAACAGCCTAGGTTGACTTCAGTTGGTACTTTTACAGCTTTACAGAGACCATCAGTTATTGAAAGGGGTGTAATGACACAAATGAAATTGTTCGCCTTATGATTCTAGGACAATATTGATTGGTTTAGAACAAAACAACGCTATATATTTTTTTAATGACAAGGAGTCAATGCAATATTGCATTAAGGGTTTTAACTACCTGTAAACCTTGGATAGTTAAGATAGGAATTTAGACACTTAGATACCCCAGATAGACAGTTAGAGCCATAAATATCTGGAAAACCTGGGTAATACATTTAGAGTTTTGCATACCAGGAGATCCTGGATAGTGCAGTATGTACTGAACTTCACTTTTGCATACTCTGTTAACAATCAAGGCTGCCTCCCCTTTTACAAAATGTAGACTTGAAGCCATCACAGCTCAATAATTTCTCAGTTATCTTGCTTCTCTGTGCTATCATGGCCCTGCTGGAGCATGCCCAGATTACACGAACCAAGGGAATAATTTAGATTCTGTTGCATTTTTAAACCGATTATGGGAATTAAAATCAATGCATCATTGCAGTAAATAAACCGTTACACCCCTTGTACCTAACACGATGTGAAGGATTCAGATCTAGATGCTTAAGAGACAGGATGATATGGAAGGAGGGGTTGTGGGGTGTGGTGAATGGTGGGCCAGGGGGTGTACCTGCATGCGGTCTGTGCTGGCCATCAGGGGCATATATCTCAGTAAAGCCCTCACCAAGGAGCCGGTCCATGGGGGACTCCCTGCCAGGTTCATAGTCGCTGTCTCCGGCCTCACTGTCTCCACGGCCGCTGTCCTTCAGACTGAACTTGTCCATCTCGTTCAGAGCGTACCTTCACACAGAGTCACACCACAGAGATGTTTGAATCATTCCTCATGGATAACTGGATCTTCAGTGACAATAATATCATCAAACGGCTAAAAGAAGGCCACGCGACTGATGGATAATGAGGTGCACTGAGAGAGCGCTCTGCAGGAGAGGTTTTACATAAAATTATGCAAATGTGGAGTTATTGAGCGTACAGTTTGACTCTAAACCAAAAAGCTTCTGGATATGGATGTTAAGACTATGTGAAAGTCTAAAAACAGAACAAACCACGTAGAAATTTTTCAGCATGATTTCAGAGGTTTACAATAGCAAGACTGTGCGTTCATTACCTGTAGCTCCGGGTGTATTTGTTGCCTCTGAAGCTGGGTCGTGGCTGGTACTGGCCCTGATGGAGCATGGACAGAAGCTGTGAGACTTGCTACAATCCCAAGAGAAACAAAAAAGGACAAAAAAAAAGAAAAAGGACAAAAATAAAAGGAAAAATGAAGAGGGGAAAATGAATGGAGTCAAACAAGCAAGGCCACAAGACAATGTTTGGGGGGATGGGGGGTGGGGAAGCATGACTTTGTGATTTGCTCCTGAATGTGATGGTCAACAAAAATATGACACAAAGGGCTGAAGGCAACAGAATATGGGAGCAAGGGATAAATTCAGAACAAATACTGAATATAAGAGGAATAAAAACATGCATCGATTATGATTCTGGGAGTAAATATCGTGTGAGGTTTATCTTTCTTATTTAAAGAGATACATCAAACATTTTTAACCAGTAAAACTGCCTCTTTACTCTGTTTTCTGCACAAACTGACCCTCTGAATGTGGAGATCTAAACTAAAGCTGAGCTGGAGCTGAAATCTTATCTTACCTCTACAGGTGGAGTGGCGTGGGCGAGCTCCAGGGCAAAGTTCTCTGGCACGTGATTGGAGGAGATGGTAACCAGGCTGTTGAGGGACTGTCGGCTGTGATGGCTCTGCCTGCTCCCCAGAGTGCCTCCCCTCTCAGGTGTGGGGGAGGCTGAGGGTGACCGGGGATGAGCCCTGACTGGCAGGGTCCCATTGACGGTAGGTACCAGGGTGATGTCGGCCTTGTGGATCTGCCTGGCGGGCTTTTTAGGGTGGTTCTGGTAGCTGTTCTCTGCCACTCGGCAGTTGTAGTTGTGTCTGGGGTCCTTCTTCTCTCTGCTGCAGCGGGCAGTGGCAAACATTACCATGACAACCAGTAGCAGAGCACAAACTGCGCCCAACGAGATGATGACAATGAGGGAGAGGTCAAGGGGGGCCTGGCTGGTGCCTGTGGGGTAGAGAGGGGGAAGGATGTCCATGGTCTCCTGCAGGGAGAGCCTGAGGACAGCTACAGTGGACAGCCTGCTGGTGCCCCTGTCCGTCACCTCCACCCTGATCTCCATCACATCCCTTGGAGCCTGCTCTAGGCTGGCATTGGTCCTAAGCTCACAGCGCCGAGCATCCATCACAAACAGTCCATCCTCATTGCCGCCGATGATGGCGCAGCTCACCTCCCCATTGGCGCCAGCATCTCGGTCGGTGACTTTGAGCGTGGTGACCAGCTGACCGGGCGATGCATACTTCCACACTGGCAGCTCGGCAGTGTGATTTCGAAGGGAGGGGGAGTGGATGATGGGGGCGTTGTCATTTTCATCCAGAACAGTCAGAAGGACGGTGGTGTTGGTGGTTAGTGCAGGATTTCCTCCATCACGTGCCTGAATGGTGAAGGCAATACGGCTGACATCTTCATGGTCAAAGCTACGTAAGGCATAGATGGCGCCATTGGAAGGGTCGATGGTGACGTACGTAGAGATGGGGCTCCCCTGGACCAGAGCATCTATAATAGTGTAGGTGACCTGGCCATTGGTGCCTAGGTCTGGATCTGAGGCCACCACAGTCATCAGGTATGCTCCTGGGGAGTTATTCTCTGATTTGAAGACCTCGTAGCGGCTCTTCTCAAAACTTGGAGGATTGTCGTTTTCATCAAGCACCTGGACAGTGAAGTGTTTGATGGTGGAGAGGCTGGGGGAACCCCGATCTTCCGCTATGACCGTCAGACTATACTCAGACCTCTTCTCGCGGTCTAAGGAGACATTGGTGAGGATCATATAGTTCTTCTCATAGGTCTTCTGTAGCCTGAAATGGCCATGGCCGTGCAGCCTGCACACCACCTCACCATTGAGTCCTGTGTCACTGTCATCAACTCGAACCAGAGCAATGAATGTGTCAACAGGGGCACCCTCTGAAATGTAGGCCACCTCTTCTTTGCCTGGCGTCATCAGGTTGATGTTTATCTCAGGTTTGTTATCATTTACATCCACCACTTTCACCACGATTTTACAAAGTCCAGGGATAGAATTAGGGCCCAAATCCTGAGCCTGGACATCCAGCTCATAGGACGCAGTGGTTTCATAGTCCACTTTTTTAATCAGGGTAATGTGGCCATTTTCTGGGTTTATCTTAAATGTTTCTAAGATCTTTGGTGAGACATGGCTGCTGAAGGAATAGACTATTTTCCCATTAGTGCCCTCGTCTGGATCCGTGGCGTTTAAATCAATGATTAGAGTCCCAAGGGGGGAGTTTTCCAGCAAATTGATGATATATGCCTGTTCGTCAAACGCTGGGCTGTTATCGTTAGAGTCTGAGATGCTGATCTTGAGCAAAGTGGAGCCAGACTTCGGGGGAACTCCGTTATCTGAGGCTGTGAGCTGCAGCTGGTAGCTGGACTGCACCTCACGGTCCAGCTCCCTCATCACCACCAGCTCCGCATACTTGGCACCGTCCGTCCGCGTCCTCACGTCGATCTTAAAGAAGTTATTGGGTGTGAGGGAATACGTGTGCAGGGAATTCTCCCCAACGTCCGCATCCACGGCGCCGTCCAGCGGGATGCGCGTCCCCACGGATGCGCTCTCGGAGATCTCGATTGGCACGATGGCGCGGGAGAAGTGCGGGGAGTTGTCGTTGATGTCCAGCACTTCCACCTCCACATGAAACAGCTGCAGGTACTCCGTGGGGAGGGTGACCACGTCGAATTCGATTGAGCAGTTTAAGTTTTTCTCACACAGTTTCTCGCGGTCGATTTTGGTGCCAATGCTGATCTCACCGTCCTCCTCCCGGACGGAGAGAAACGGAGTGCTCCCCCGCTGCATAGCGCGGAACCGAAAGGTCAGAGAGCTCGGTAGTTTGGATAAAACCCCGGATACATCCTCTTTGAGCCGTGCAATAACAGTGCCCACTTTCTGCTCCTCGTAAACTTTATATTTCAAAGTCTTACCAGCGGCGGTGTGCAGGAGCACGACCAGGAGCAGTAGTTTGAGAAGTGCCGAAGAGAAAAGATTTCCTTTGGTTTGGATCCTTTTCGCCCCCATCTTCTGCGCGCACACTCTGGCTATTACTTCCACAGAGGGGAAAACCGGGGGGGAGATTCTGCGTCCTCTTAAAGATCTGGCATGTTAAATCCTCCTTCGCTTCTCCTCGTCCACAAAGAAAACTCCGCGAATGATTGAAAAATAAATAAAAGAATAAATATAGAATAAACTTTAACTGTTCAGGAAAAAAAGATTATCAGACATCAACAAATCGCGGCGCTCTCCTTGTTGACAGAGCTGTTGCATATATCGACATATGCCCGTCGCCTCATGTGTGTGCGCAAAGAGTGAGTGAGAGTGTCTGTCTGGGTGAAGAAAAGGCGCAGCTTTCGCCCGGTCTGTGCGCGAGAGTGAGTGAGTGAGCAAGAGAGAGAGAGAGAGAGAGAGGAGGAGGGAGGGAGCGTGTGCGCTTTACTCCCTGCGCTCCAGCCTCTCTCCTTGCCCGCCCCTCACCCAAACTGCATCTCCCCTCCACACAAAAACACCCCCACCTCCTTCACCCCCTCTCCTCCTAAATCACCAGAATGGCCTCCTTCAAGCAGCACAGGAGGGACTATTGATGGTAGCCCCTCTCTCCTCCCCCTCTCCCCCACCCTCACTCCCCAGCTCGGAGGACACCCTGGTATTAAAAGTGTGCCACAACAATCGGCCAGAGGAGGAATTATTCTGGGCTCAGACTCTGAACACAGGCTCACACTGACCCGCGGCAGACTTACATTGTTATGCTTTCAATTCACAACGTGTGCCAGCTCGGCTCTTTTGTCATGTGTGCGTAAAGTTGTCACTGTCACAATAATAACTCCAAAACGAAGGGAACATGCCAGAATCATGCGCCTGCTGCAGAAATAAAAACCAAAAGCATGTAAAATATCGCTCTGATATCGTTTTCCTCTTGTTGTTTTGTGGCAGACGGAGGTGAACTGAAGCTGCATGCAAATCTTATCTATGCTCTCTGTAGGCACGACTTGGCTGACCTGCATCTTCCACCTGCAGACTAAATCACTGAAATGTCCTATTAAGTCTTCTAACGTGATTCATTTCGTAGTTGTATCAATTTAAAAAACACTGAAAGCTGCAGTCCTCACTCTGTTTGACTCGCTGTCCCTAAAATGGGGAAATGAGGGTTTCAGGTCCTCTGCTCCTGACTCTGCTGCAGGAGGATTTGAGTCAAAGGGAGATGGACTCCTAAAACGTTTCTTTAAAGTAGACTCAAGGTGCTGGAGGAGGATGCATTAGGCTGCAGAAGCTTTTACTGATCTGTTATCTGATTCAGGAGGAGTTGTTTATACGTGTTGTGCGTACTTTTCTGTAACATTGCTGGAAGGTGCTGCCTAATCTAGGTCAGGACACTCTTGTTAAACAGATTTCTAATCTCACTAAGGCTTTCCTGGTTGAATACATTAAAATGAATCAAAACAAAGGAGTGATCTTTAATTGCAACGATTTTAGCACAGTATTTCGTTATAACTCCTCTGCTCTGTGCACACAGGGCCTACTCTGTCTGGATGATTCTTGACCTCTTCAATCTGACTGTCTCTTCAGTTTAAATCTGGAAACCCAACGTCTCTGGAGCCGAGATCATGTTTGACCATGAAACACTTCTGCAGCCTAACCATTACTGACACTTGAAAATTTACCCCTCCGTACAAGCAGGTAACAAAAGCATTGTCTTAATTTTCTTTTTCTTGGATTGAAATAGAAACATTCCTCAAATCGGTGGCTCTTGGCTCTTGTTATGTTTGGGCAGGAAATCAGGAAAGTGTTTCAGACGGTTTAAATGAACAATCTTTTCTGCACAATTTCCCCTGGTGCGCATCTGTCGACCGAACCCAAGGAAACAACAATTATTCAAAATTTCTCCCAAATTAACATCTTAAATGATTTGTTTGTGCAGATAACCACACAGGAGAGATCTTCATTTGGCGTGAATAATCAAATATTTCGAGCTGATGATAGATGTGTCTTTATTTTTACAGTTTCGCTGTGGGGCTTTTAAACCCCCCTCCCCCATGCCACTCAGGTGTAGTGTTTCAATTCTAACTGTCCCTCACGCGCGCCCTCCTCTCTGACCTCCTCCTCCTGTTGCTGCATTATAATGTTTTATGTCAGCCCACCTCTCCAGATCTGACCAAATCACCAGTTTGAGTGTCTCTCAGAGAGCAAAGCACCGGCGCGCGGAGCTTTATGAGCGCAGCACGAGGCCATCTGGCCCGGGCCTCAGACTACCCAAACCTGCAATTACCATCCATTCAGACCCACCGCCCCCAGGCCCAGACACACCAAGAGAGAATCAGCCCCAGCTCTCAGCAGATAGGATCTAATATTCTCCTCAAATTGCTGCAGAAAAATGAATTTGAGTTTTCTTTTCAGGAGGCGATGTGAGCAGACCGGACAGACTTTATCCGAAGTGTCAGAGAGGATGATGGGTCTCAGAGGAGGAGAAAAGGACATAAAGATCCAGCAGGCTGATAAGTCTTTCCCTGTCATGTATTAATCCATGCTACAGAACTCAAATGTGTAAAAGGTCAGATCAGAGCGAACATGCCTACAGTACATCCTCCTCTCTGTGTCACACACACTCCAGCAGCCCGTTTGAAGGTCCCCTGATCCCATTTTCCCCAAATCAATCTGAGAGTAATGAGTGGCTCTGTGCGCAGACTCCTGCTCTCAATAAGCTTCATTTGGAGTGCCAGCCACATCTGATAACCGGCTTCAACAGAACAAATTATCAGGGGCCGGCATCTCTGAGAGGATGCGCTGTGTGATGGATTTTATCTGCATTTTAAATTCCTATGTGTGACCCGTGGGAACAGCTCTCTGCGCCGCCATCTGTCTCTGAGCAAACACATGGACATCAGCTCTGAGCTGATATATACACATGCTGATGCTGACTGACTCGACAAGGGCAGAGGGTCCATACAGGGTGTGGAGTAATGGTGCTCATTTTAGGCTTCAGACAGGGATAACTACAGTCTGGTCTCTGAATCTACTGTGGACATCATGGATTCTTTAAGTGTTGGAAAATGTCTTTTTACACGTGCTATCATCTCATACTTGACCACCAAGTAATACACATCTTGATGTTCATTTTCAGAAATAGCCAAATCAGTTAATGATGGTAATCCAATCAATGTCCACACTTTTTGCAATAACAAACTACATGCATACTGACTTGCTGTCCAGAAACCAACCTGTCTTGGACGGATGCAGTATTTAGCTTATGAGACGGAGGGCTTTACAGTCACTCATCTTTGTTAATAAATAAACCCATGTTCTGCATTTCCTCAACCAAGGTTTGATTAAATAAAATCTCCTCTGTGCAGAAAACTGATCCTGGTTTAGGACTGTGGCGGTCAGTTATAGTACATGCACAGTAAAGTGGAGTGGTGTTCAAAGCTTATTGAGGTGGTTTAACTGTCCTCATCCAAGTATGAACCTGCCAAGAGTCCATTCATTGACTAAAGCATGTCCATATTTAGCCCCTTCCAGTTGGTTACTGTTGGGCTGTCTCCTGGTTGAGTTGTATCAGTGATGCATCACATACCTAAACAATCAACAGATAAGTTAGTGTGAGGCTACATGTATGTTAAAACATACAAACTGGTCCAGAGCTGATACTAAAGCTATGTTTCCATACCTAATGACAGTTTTTAGCTTTTCTATGTAACACGCTGTTGAATATCGAAAAGCACATATGAAGCCTACAGAACATTGTCAAACAGACTCAACAGTCACTATTTATGCGAGGGGAAGTGGGACAACTCAAGAGCTGATGAGGAGCCTCATGGGTGCTGCCCATTAAAACAACACCTTATTGAACATGGCTCTATATGCTGTTCAACTACCTGACCAAAGCCAAGTGTGAAACACAGAGTGCTGAGGCCAGTTTGGGTCTGAGTGAGGTGTAAACATCTATGTATTCTAAACCAAGTATGAGAAATTTGACTTGCGATTTCAGTCAGATTTTAATGTCATATTAATCTCATGCATATACTTTCTCATGCCCTGTAACACACTTTGTGTGGGGGTGGTGGGGATTGTGATGCATTTCATTTATAAGAAGCCAATGTATTCTGTAGTTATGGACAATAATGGCTTTTTTTAAATTTTATTTTTAAATAATTTCGGTATTTGTAGCTATATTTTAAGAAAAAAAAATCACTGGTCAGCAGAGTTGAGGGTAAGGGAGGCACTGGGTTGGCTCACATACTGATTACAGTCCTGCATTTACATTTTAAGCATGACTAAACGATTTGCAAAACCGTCTGTAAATGTCACACGTTGAAACCAGCAATTCATTTTAATCCAGAACTGGATGACATTTTAACTTCATGCAGAAGCTGACTTTTGGACACTCTCATTAGTTGTTGGCCCTATTGAAATCAAACAAACCTGATCTGAGCGCGTGGTTTGTAACCGTGAACGCTTCAGTCACAGTTCATCCAGCTGATTACGCAGCATCAGAGATATTACGCACGGTGCCAGGCTCTCCCCGGGCGCAGCGCGAACACCGCGGTGTCTCTCCGGGAGCAGACACGGTCCCCCGGCATGTGTACAATAGAATAAAAGAGTTCCGAAACGTATAACAACGTTAGGCACGGCCCGCTGCCTCTGCACATATAGCCTGGTACTACAACCCCCCTGGTGAGGAGCTGATGGTGCCCTAATGGCATTACTGCAGTCGAGGACGCGCACAAATCACATTTCCTCTGCGGAGGAGCAAAAAGAAAAGCTGCGCACGTTTCACAGTTTTTCAGCCGAGTATGTTTCTTTAATCTCAGCAGTGGGGCTGCTGCAGAATAAGATACTCTGGGGGTCCAAACAGACTAATACATAGACTATGAAACTCCTGCTCCCACAGGTGAATATGAGACTAGGTGCGTAAGAAACTTTACAGGAACGACAGATGATGCTAATCTATATTTACAAATCAGACGCGATCAGACTGGTTAACTTTGATTTCTTCTGAAGGGGAGCAGAAGGACTCCTGCCTCAACCTGGCCGCTCATATGGCAAGTTGGAGGGAGGATGACTGGGTGGGTGATGGGTGGCTGCAGAAATGCTGCCCTTGGGGACCATAAAATTACTAAAGGGAGTCCAGAGGGGGCGCGGGGGGTGCAGGGTGAGGGGTTTGCTAACTTTGTCATTGAAATGAAGCAGGAGATTCTGATGACAAAGGCCGCATAGCAGGTGGAGAGAGGGCGGTACGGGGAGCCATGCCGGACCATCCTCCCTCCCCCATAGAGGATCAGAGTGCTGCAGGGTGATGGGGGAGGAGGCTGGGAGCTGTGTGTGCACTTTAATAACATTTGAATATTTGAGTCTTTTTTTTTTTTTTTTTTTTTTTTTTTTTTTGCTAAGGTATCATGAACGAAAAGAATAAAAAAAAAGATCATGACTGGAAAAAAATGGTGGAAGAAAAACTAAAGCATAAAGGTGGGGAAACTTTTTGTGAATATAATTTAAACCAGATTCCCAGCGTTAACACGGACCCCAGCATTTGGTTATTAGCATCTCCCTGTCATCATCAGACGTGAGGGGAGTCTCGGCGTGCGTCGGGGGGTCGGGTGGATTGTAAAGGCACGCGAGCATCTGCCACAGTCTCATTACCATGCTGTTAGCTCGCGCGAGACGGAAGGGATTTGGGCCGAGCGAGAGGGGAGTCAGGATCTCCTCCTCCCTTTCTTCCTCTTCCTCACACCAAGCCTGGCCAGAGATGACACATCAGAAAACTGGAGCTGAATGTGGAGCATCAGCAGCTGATCGCTGTTTTTTTATGAGGAGTGACTCACTTTAAATTAAGGCTGCTCTGCAAAAAAAAAAAAAAAAAAAAAAGAGCAGAAGCTGATGGCAAAGCATCAAGGAAGCCTTAACACCCCTTTACAACAAGCTTATAAATGGGATGTAGACGGCCAAACATTGTGTGTATAAAATAAACCTTTAAATAATCATACTGTGAAAAACGATTAACATAAAACAAACAAACCAAAAAACAAATAGAAATTATGGGTTTGCATTAGATAGAGGTATGCATGACATTTTTTAGCAGATAGTTTTTTCAAATAATGTCAATCAGCTTTTTAGCTCTGACTTTTGTTTTCTCAAAGTTTTGTCTCAGAATGGAAAAAAAAGTTTAAAATCTTACTTTTATCTCAAATATCTGACTTGAATCTTATTCCTGACTTTCATCTCATAATTCAGAGTTTAATTTCATATTTTTAACTTCAGTCTCAGAATGGAAAAAAGAAAAGTTTGAACTCTGACATTAGTCTCATGATTTTGAGTACAAAGTCCCAATTCAGGCTTTAATCTTAAAGAAAAACAAAACAAAACAAAACAAAACAAAAAAAACCCAGGACCATCAGCATCAACATCATCTTCACATCAAAAGCAGCTTTTAGTGCCAGAAAACAAAACCTCCAACACCACTGCAGAAACTTTCTTTCTTACATTTTCACTGGAAAGACTCTCTAAGACTTTTTGCAGGACTTTTATTTTCCTGCAGGAAAAAGCCTGGGTGTAGTCAGCCAGTTGCACATGCAGATAATCAAATATCAAGAGTTTAGTGCATGCATGAACACCTGGAGGACATTTTATAAGGTTGAAGTCACCATAGGAAACATGTTATGAATTGTTTTGGACTGGAAAGGCATTGTGACTGTCCAGAATGCCACTTTAAAACCTCTATTGAGGATCTTCTTTTACATACTCTGTGGTGAAGTGTTTTCTTCTAGCGGGGCACTTAAAAGGGAAGTGTAATACGACCTCAGTCAACCTGGCGTGTTGTGATATCTGTGCTCTGGGATAACTACTTAAATATCCCTGAATGAAACACATTTCCTCTCTGAGACAAAGCCTATCTTATCTTAACTCAATAAAACACAACTCAGCATGTAATGAGTAGCTCCTAAGCTAAGCTAACAGTACATGTTCAGTTACTGTTATTCCACTCCCTCTACACTCTGAGAAAGAAACCTTTCAGCATGTTATAAATGTCGAGCCACTTCCTTATAAAAAATAAAATAAAATTCCAGACTCTCTGTCCTCTGACAAAGTCACGTCTCTTCAATCTCACTGTTTTTCAGTGGAAAGTTTGCAGTAAAATCGTGTGAGTTTCACTCCTTCTCTGCATCCTCAGCCTGCATTGTTTATCTGAGCTGCAGACAGACCTGAGGAGAAAAAAAAAAGTGAAGCTGTGACAGTGAAGCGTGGATGTTGCAAAATTAAAGAAAAGCAGAGATGACAGAGAGTGCAAAGACAGATCTGCAACCGTGCAGGCTGCAGATTTGAATCTCTTTCTGTTCATGCTCTCTCAGTGGGTAATTGTTAAACTTTGGAGCAAACACTCACTCTTTGATTGAGACATCACGGTCTGGTGTCTACGCTGCAGAATCAAACTCTATTGTAGTTTTGCCGAAGCTAGCTCAGCAGGATGTTGTTTCTGCACTCGCAGGTATCTGCAGGAACAACAACACAAGAACACTCTTCATGCTTTTGGGCTGATTCCTCTGCTTTGGACTCAGATCCTCAGGTCTGAAAGAGAAATACACATGACACAGAACCACAAAACATAAAAGAGGGGTGATAAAAGAGATCTTCATCACAAGAGTAAGGTGGCCCTGGAGGTCAGCAGCAAGAACATGAAAAAACCTTTAAATGAATACCACAAACATTTGAAAACCCCAAAATAGCCTATTAAAGGGATATTCCGGTGTAAATTTAGGTTATGGTGAAACACACTGTAACACCGAGTTAGACACCCCCTCGAGAGATGAATGTTGCTGACTGCTTGCTTCTCTAATTATACCAACTTTAGTAATGACCGCACGATAGCAATACACAGTGGTCTATGTCTCCATGCACAGAGCTCAACCAAAACGACACTCTATAGTCACAAATAATGCTCAGAACAGCACCTAACTTCATCAACAGTACATATAGGGTCCTAGCCATAGTACTAGCCATCAATCATCTTTGTAACTTTGCCTAATTTCTTTAACAAAGAGACCAAACACAACTCACCCACTCTCTTCCAGCAGCCGCTTGTTTGTGGGGGAGCCCTGAAGAATCGATCACCAAGTGCTGCGGATCATTTCCATGAATTAATAATCATCATATTAATCATTTTGCACTGCAGACACTGTAGTTCTTCTGCCTTAGCGTCTCTGTCTGATTGCATTTCCATGAAGAAATGATCATAAATGTTCTTCCTTGAGCTGCGAAACTCCGCTGCACTCGGTGATTGACTCGTCAGGGAGTCGGCAACATTCATCTCTCGAGGAGGTGTCTAACTCAGTGTTACAGTGTGTTTGACCATGACTTAATTTTATGCCAGAATTTCCCGTTGAGACTAGTATTGGTCAACTCACGGTATGTGTGTTTTTTAATGCCTCATAGACCTGTAAACATGAGGGTGGCTGTTAAAAGACAATGACTAATGTTTTAACTAGTTTTACACAGATTTTCTAAAAAGCAGTTGTGCAACGATGTCTCATATATGACCTCCTTATAAGTTCTGATGCCAAACATTTCATCATTTCTAAATCACTGTACATTCTGTCAAAGAGAGCTGAGTGGCAGTTTTTCTAAATATGTTCCAGTGAGATACTTTGAGAGACAAACAGCACAGACCGGTGTTTGCTAACAGCCTGCCTGTCATGCACAGCATGCAGAGCTATATTTGATATGCACCGTTTTGCAGCCTGAGCGTTGTTAGCGTGGAGGAAAACAAAGACAGGGCGCTCTGCATGTACGTATACTTTGTGTAGGTTGTAATTACTGCCTTGTTGTTGGAGTGTTCACACTGAGCTGCTCTCCTGCTGTAAGGCTTGTTAGCCTCTCTCTGCAGAAGAAAAGCTTGTTTGCTCTCCTCTCATCTCTGATCAGTTCTGATTGTCTCCTCTGAGATTTCCAGCCTGTCCATAAAGCCTCTGTTTCTACCTGGGGTGCAGTCTTGTTAACCGCCCCCCTGGACTCCATTCCTTTTGGAGGCATTGAAGGAGCTCCTTGACTTGGTAATGGGCTTGCTGGAGTTGTGTACAGGCCCTTTGTCTTGTGAGGTATGTGCTGTGGGCTGCCACCTTTTACCTTGTTGACTTTCTGCAAGCTTTTAAAAGAAGCTTTTAGATGTCCTGTTTCGCCTTGAAGAGCTGCTTTGACAAAGAAAGCACAACGTGTGAAAAGGTCTCTGATGTGCAGGGATGGTTTGCCCTGAAAAGAAAATGAAATGTTTTTCCTCTCCACAGAGAGACTAAGGCTGAGACACATTTAAAGCTGTTTTTCAGGGTGGATGGACCTTAACACAGGCTTCTGGTGAAGTTTTTCACACATGAAATATTCATGAGCCTGCAAAAATCAGGAGCGTTTTGTCGATACTCAGCAGAGAGTTGTCATCGACCCTGCTCTGAAAATTAGAGCAGCGCTGACAAACAGTACAAAGGTATCTGTCTGTGAGGACTCTGCCGCCTGCTTTCGTCTGCCTCAAAGGCTAATTGACTTCCCCAGCTCGCCTCAAAAGACTCACGGTAGTCTTACGTTTCATGCGTGAACAGTGCAGGTCTGTTTAAAATGATCACAGGGGCTTTTGCAGCCGTCTCTTCCAAGCATTCATATTGTGACAGAGCCAAAGGCCTCCCCTCTGACGGACACACGTCTGGCATATGCTGTGCTGATACCTGATCACTTGTTTTTGAAGGGGCACAATAGTCTCTCCACGTCCACACCCTGTTTTCATATCTTTAGACTCTGAGCGCCCAGCCTCTCTGTAATATCTCCCTAAACTTACTATTTGACTTTTTGTTTCTACCACCTTTATTCTTCCAGCCCCACCCCTCCTTTTGGACTCCTTTCTTTATCCTCAGTCCAAGGAGTATCTGCCAGATGCTGAGCAAACACCTTCTTTTGTCAGCCTCATCTCAAACCTGTCCTGTATGCTCATTCACTCCTCATGAGCCAAAGAAGCCAAGTGTCTCTTCAAGCTCAAAGTGTAAGCTTTGTCTTTGATCATAAAACTCCTGAAGTTAACCAGGTTTAGTGAGGTTAGCTCCTCCCTGCGTGGGTCACTAAACTCGTAGTTAGCTAACAATCAGAGAGTGTGGGCTCATTAGGCTGCAGACTCAGAGATGCCTCTTTTTTAAACAGTCTGAGAGTTTAGGGTGATGCATGCTCAGGGGACAATGGGGAGACGACAGAGGAGAGCCAGGAGTTTTCTGCACTGACTCGGAGGTCCAATGGGGGGGAGGGCCAAACAAAGGCCTCCTATGTGGCTCGAGTTGAATGTTTACCACGTGCAGGGCCAATGGGTGACATATTTTCGGGAGTGCTCATTCATTAGAGGGAAGATTTACGGCCCGCCTGGCTGCCCCCCCTCCTTCTCCTCTGTTTGTCTTGGCAGATGTGAGCCAGGCGCTGGCCTTTCTCTCCCTCTTTTCTTTCCCTCTCCGGTGTGGGGGGAGAATCACTCTGACCGAAGCGCCACGTGTTCTTAATTTTGAAGCCATTTGTGTGGAAACTCTCATAGATCCCCGGATCAGCTTTCGCAGCAGGCTAGACACTCTCCCCATGTTGTGATTTGGATTTTGAAGTGGACCAGTTTTCCCCACTTTCATATTTGGTCTGAAATTCCTTCGCTTAGTTGCCCTTTACTGAGCACTTCCTGTCGCTGTTGATATTTCATCATCCTGGTGTTGCAGGGGCAATCAACTGGTTATTAAACTGTGAACGGATTACGTGCTGCACAAATGTAATTAGCAAGCATCTAATTCATTACAACAGAGCTAATAAGCTGCAGCAGTAACAATCATATTTTCAGTTTTAATGGTTTTGTAAAGTGCTGTTATATTGCAATTAGACAAAAGACCCAGTGTAAAGCGGGGGCTCGTCATCAGATTTGTTTTTCATTATTAGCGATTACCTTTCCAACTTTGCAATCCCACTGAGTCCTTTGGTGCACCACCGAGCTTTGTTAATAACCGCCTCAGTACCCCACACAGACACCTACACACTCTATTGGCTTTCACAGTAACTAGCTATTGCAGGCAGTCCCGTGCTATTAGTAATCACGGCAGGATCTTGTTTTACGACCTTAATTAAAAGGTCCAGACAGTGAAAACAGCAGTTGTGTTTATCATGGAGGCCTGAGGGAAGAGAGAGTAAAGGGTGTACTTATTACACAGCCCATAACCAGGCCATCCTAATAACTCTCAGACCCATGTGCTCTATCTAAACACATTCCAGGCTTGCCTTGGGAGGAACCGAGAGGGCCTCATCCAGTAGACCTTAGAGAGGTGGTGATTTGCTTTTTCCCATGGTTTTCATGCAAAATGTGTTTTTATTTTTCACCATTTAAAGTCTGTTTATCGTCGATCCCTCCAAAATAAACTTTTACAAACAAGCGTGAAGATCAAATTTTAGGTTTTGATCCTAAACATGGTCAGAGAGTCAAACTGTGTTGAAGTAATTACAGGATGAGGCTGCATTATCATTATTTTATGAAGAATAGTATTCTTTTGTAGCATGGCAACAGTGGAGAAGGCTTCTAGGGTACCAAGTTCTAGACTGCTAAGTACTTCAATGCTGGGTTGGAGAACTTTGTGGTGTTCTAGAATGCTGGGCCCTAAAGTCTTGGGTTCTGAAATGCAGGGTTTTTTTGGGTGCTGGGTTGATGAATCAGGAATTCTGGAATACTGGGTTAAAAATCTTTGGTTCTGGAATCCTACACATGTTGTGGTGTTTTTCTAAATTGTTCACTTACAGAATAATTGGTTCTGAATACTGGATTCTGGAATGATGGGCGCTGAAGTGTTTGGTTGTGATTTTCGGTGCTCTGCAGTGTTCTTTTTTCAAAAAGCTGAGTTCTGGAGTTTAAGGTGTGTTCTGTAATACTGGATTCCAGAATTCTGGGTTCAAGATTTTTTTAAATGTGTTCTGGAATGCTGGGTTGTAAAGTATAAAGTTCTGAAATGAAAGGTTCTGGAATGCTGGGTTCTAGAATGCAGGATTCTAAAAATGTTGTTTTGTTCTGGAATGTTAGGGTTTAACGCAGAGAGCTCGATTCTCAGTTGGGATTCTTAATGGTTGGTTCTGAAGTGCTTGGTTCACGTTTTCTGGGTTTGGAACTTTAAGTTTCCAGACTTGGCTTCTCAAATTTTCTGGTGTTATAGAATTTTGGGCTCCAGAATTTTAGGTTCTAACTGAGTCATAGAATGCCTGGTTCTAGAATGCTGGACTCTGGAGTCCTGGGTTCTGAATCGCTGGATCCTAGAGCTCTAAGTTGTGGAATGCTGGGTTCTAGAATACCGAGTCCTAGAATATTGGGTTATGGAGTGTTCCTGAGTGCTTTTAAGTGTCTCTTACAGACAGTAGATTTAATGA